ATAGAATTGCTGTCAAGATGGATTTCAAATATAGGATGCTACATACAGTAACTTAAAATATTATTTTTTAAGTGTAGACCTATGTTTATTTGAACTAACTAAACACGATAAAAAATAGCTTTACATACCAGTAAAACGCATGATTTATTTACAATTCATGTTTGCTTATATCAAACAGAATATAATCTATAGATAAATGTGATTGTATTATAGGTAGATTATTCTTATTTAAAAAAAGTTAACTTACTCTTGAATTTATTATTATTATAGCAGGCAGCTTTTTTATATGACAAAGTGGTGAATGTAAAAAAAAAAACTTGAACTAGTGTTCTTTGTAATTATGAATTTAGATTATATATTTTTATACAAAAAAGATTGAGGTTATTGAATTGGATGAGTATTTAATGTAAACTTATGAAAGTTGTTATTAAACTCTTTCTTTTCTTCTTTAACATATTGTACTCACCGTACACGCTCTAATTTATTACTATACAAATTCTAGATACAGAATAAAATCTAAACTCTTGCTGTGCAAGTTGCTTGTGTCCTTGGGCAAGGCACTTTATCTACATTTGTCTCTTTCTACCCAGGAGTATAAATGGGTACCTGGTAGGATGTTGTGGTCCTTAATGTACTGCTTTCGTGTTTTGTGCGCTACACAAGTAGTGCACGACTAGGTGCAGAAAAGGTTGCACTTTGTGCTGGTTTGCCATTTTATTTTATCCAGTGACCAGGTGTAATAAAACTCAGTGCCTTTGATCATTCAATTTGGAATTGGCGCTATATAAATATTTGGGTATTATTACTAGAGGGTACACTCGCTTACGTGAACTATATAATTAGTTTCGATAAAAAGAACAATGACCACTAAATGAAGATTATAGGATGAGGGGAAATTATGCTAAATTTTAAATTTGAATAGCATCGTTCCTCTTCAACAAGTCTTTCTTGTGTCTTTGGTTACAAATAATTCTGCTCCTACCTCTATACTTTGGTATCATAGAATTAGTTTCTTCATCATCATACAGCTGTTGAAGAAGGCTGTTAAGTGCCTTCCTTTATCTTGGGTCATAGACAAAATCATGAGCTGTACCAAAAGGAAATAGGCCTACTGTATGTCACTAATACATGATGAATGTGTGGTTAATGTTATGTAATTTTTATTGAGATTGTTATTATTTTTTTTTTCTTGAAGTGAAGTATAAGCATGGAGGTATTATTATTATACTATGTAATACCTTCATGATTTGACTGCAGGCACAATAAAAATAATTGCATAAACTGTTTTTTAAATTACAGTACATTCATTTCCCAGCAGCTATAAATAATAACAATTATTTACCATGAAATATTATTAGAAAACAGGTACGGAAACGGCTAATGTACCGCTAGGCCTAGTGCATAAACGATCCCAGGCCTACGCTGTCTAGCAACGCCCATCGGTCGCTACAGCGGGCTAGACCTAGGCCTAGAGTAAATCGAATTAACAAAAGGAGGTAAAATCATACCATGATTGTCACTTTCTGTATTCTCCTTGTTGTCTTGTAAGCATTCATGTTCAAACTCATTCAAATCGTCTTCTTCAAAACTGAAATCGCTTAAGTTATTAGAGTCTTCGCCAACAAAATAATCTTCTTTGCTATATTTCGCCATAATTATTAGAAATGTCCGCGTCCGCATCTCAGCATCGTCTTCGTGAACGAAATGACTTATGGGTAATTATGACATAATGCCAGCGCGGATTTTCCTGAATTGGATTATAGATAAAGTTGATAATGGTCTGTTCCTTATGGATTCTTATCAGCGCGGTCGGAATGATCGTCAAAGGACTGAATTCAGGTAATCCCTCCAGTTCACTATAATACCTCCATGGTATAAGTAATTGTTAATTAACTAGTCATTATTCTGATCTTATATTTTGTACACACTATTTAGTATGCATTATTATAATCAAGAAAATTAAGATAATTTTATTAGAAAGAATGTATGGTTTAGGCACATTACAAATTCTAGAAATCCTTAAATGTGGTTTTCTTCAATATGCACTTTTCAATATTCGTCACTGCCCTTCAGTAAAAGAGACGAGTTGTTCAAATATCATTCGTTTGCTATTAAAGGTAATTATTTTATAGTAAATGTCATGTTGTTACATGTTAGTTTGCCATTCCTTGTTTAGTTGTGGACATTGAAGGGAAGGCCTGTGCCACAAACAAAGTCAGAACCATCAATAAATAACCCAATTGTTCAGAGCGGTTCGCATTTATATACTGTAGTTGTCCTGAATATGCCCTGTGGCGTGTTTGTGCATTATGCATATGCAACTCAATAACATCGCCCTACCCCCACAAATATTGACTGTGATGATTTTTCTGATACGATACAGTAAGGGCTATAATTATGGGCCGTATCCAGGAGGAGGCGATGTGTGCATATCCACCCTCCAAATTAAAAAAGCTCCATCAGTTAAAAATGTATTGAATATAAAATATTCTTTTCCTGTAATAAAATTTGTTAAATTTGTTATTTTTTCAGTGTAATTAGTCAGAACAAAATCTGTGAACCAACCAGATCTTCCTCTTGATTTTACAGATGTCCGACATAATTCATTAATAAACTTAACTGGAATATTATATTTATGCATGTGCAATCAATCAATCATCTCTAAACGTGCGACAGATAAACATTTCAATAATTTTTGTTTTTTAATTATGTTGGACATCGAATAGGCCTAAATAAGAGCGTGATTCTATCTTAAATATTCTTATTTATATTTGTTTTTTTATTTATTTATTTATTCTGGTACATAATAATAATAATAATAATAGTGAAGCTTTATATAGCGCACATATCCATCTAATGTAAGATGCTCAGGGCGCTTGATACGTGGTCTAGGAACTCGTTCAATGACTTTCTTCGCCCCTTCGTGTCTGTGCTACCGGTAACCAGGTACTGCCTGTTCCAGTACACCGGGGTATCCCCCTGCTTGTCTCGAAAAATGTACTGGGCTCTTTATAATGCATATTGTAAGCCATTGTATACACTGGGCCTACGGTTTATAGTCCTTATCCGAGAAGACTTGTTCTACCACCAGAAACATAGGCGAGCGTGTCGTTCGACAGGGGCGTCAGAAGCAATTTTTATTGGTCCGGCCAAATTTAATCATTGCATTAACATGACTTCTTTTCATTAGTTTTGTCTTTGTCTATAGTTCAAAACATGCACTATTCTATTTCATCAGTCATTCATAGTTGTACATCATTCATGCTTCATCATTTATATTTGTCACCATGGGATTTCATAAATATTAACGTACATACAAGTAATAGTAGTTAAACATTAATTTAACAGTAGAAACGATATATTTTAAAATGATGTTTAACACTAGCCGATATTTTACCATATGACCTGCTAGTATGTTGCAAAAATACTCTAAAAGAATTGACACGTATTCGTCTCGAACCAGGGCCATCAGGGGCGGATTTAGGGGGGGGCCGGCCCGGCCCCGGCCCCCCTTTTGGGAGGTAAAAAAAGAAAAGAAAAAGAAAAAAAAGAGAGAAAAAGAAAAAAATGATGGCCAAGAATGCCTCAAATGTTATGTTCGGGCGTCTAGAACACAAAAATTTCGCGGGGGCATGCCCCCGGACCTCCTACGACAGTGTTGTCTCAATCGGCCCAACTTTCGGCCCCCCTTCCGGCCCCCCCTTTTGGACATTTCTGGATCCGCCCCTGGCCATAGCTCAGCTACAGTTTGTACGCATGTACATTGGGCGGCCTGGGCCATATCATAGTGATTTTTTTAATCAAAAAGTGTAAATCGATCAGTTGAATTGATTAATAAGTAGGCCTATCTATCAGTTTATAGGTATCTAATCAAAATTGCTGATTTTCCCTGGCGTTTGTCCTGCCACCCTGACCGGGACTGTTGTAGGGCCTGAGTAGAACCCCTGTAGAAATGTAAAGTACCTTATTCTAATATTGACCCTCCACCCAAAGTTGATGTCCCTGATTCTTATTGCTCTATTGAGTACTTATCACCTAGTAGATCTGTCCATATGATGGGAATACCTACATACATGGTCCTCCTGCCATTAATAAACCAAAACTTTACTAAATAATAATACTAAAAAATATACTAGCAGTCTGTTATTTGAAAATCTAACGTATTCATCTAGCTTAATTCAAAAGACATTTAATAGGTTTACTAAATAATGCATAGCATATTGTACCCTGTGTGCCTGTGTATTCATAACACATGTTAATTTATTTAGGCTACATCTTTTTATAGGCTATGTATTTCACAATATCCGTCAACTCGTATAAATATAATAGGTGCACATTCATTGTTAATGATATTGCATTATATACTGTAATATAATTTTGTTCCTGTTTCTTGCATTTTCATTTATTCTTGGACGAATATGCATACTGTATCCTGTGTATACATTGGCCTAACACATGTTTTACTTAATTAGCATGCTGTCATTATTTTATAGCAAAATGCTAGGTTTTTATAATTTACTAAAATGGCTGGTCTGTTTCTGAGATACACATAGTAAATTTTAAACAGTTTTAAACAGTAATTTTTATTTTGACTTTTTACTATTTTACTATTTTAAATTGTTAATATCTTAATGTATTTCTTGTCATCCAAGTTGTTTTGTCATGTGATTTTTAATGTAATTTTATCCTTCTTAACCAAGACTGTTGCAAAGGAAAAACAAATTCTTATTTTAAAATGGACAATAAAGTGTTCTTGAATCTAGAATATTTTTTTAGGTATTTCACAACATCTGTCAACTTGTATAAATATAATAGACATATAATATAGTCACTGTTATTCATATTGCATTATATGATGTGTCCGTGTTTCTTGCACTTTATTTATTCATTCATTGAGGAATAAGCATCTCATTTCATATAATTATGGAATTGATAAGAAATTTTAAACAATTTATTTTTATATAATTTTTTTGCAATTATCATTATTTTTCTAGATTATAGCATTCTTAGCCTGTGTGATGACTGCACTCTCGAAAAAGGGCCCATCGGAACCTAGTTTCACCACTGGGAAATGGCAGGTTCGAGGGAGGTCCCAGCCGGCCCCTCCAAATTTGAATGTGCAGGTTATGTTTGATTGCGTCGTACAAAGTAGAATTTGGCTTGCAAACGATACTGAGTTATAAATTATTGGTCCGGCCAAAACTGGACCAGCTGGACCGCTTCTGACGCTCTTGTTCGAACCAGCGCCAATATTATGGCTATAAAGTAGCTTGCGGTGACATATGATAAAATACAAAAAGCAGAACTGTGTTCATATACAGGATAAGTTCACACCAGAGCTCTAGCATCCGGATCAGTAGCTAACCATTAGCACCTGTGTGAGAACGCCTGATTGGTTAGCGTTAATAGTTACCAGGATCTGGATACACCATCTGTTAGCAAGTTGAACGCGTATCTATCATTAACAAATCACACATTTCCAATTTAAATTTTCCTATTGGCAAAAGAGCCTACATCATCTTCTTGATATCTGGATCGGGGATTTTCTGTATGAACGCAAGTGTGAGCACACAATTTTATCTGGATCCTCTAACCATTACCTGCCGAATGCAAACAAAGTCACAATTTTCTTCAATTTACAGTGCATTGAACCGGACAGTAATTTCAGCTCAGTAAAAAATTCTAATATAGCAACCTTTTAATTACTGTTACACACAGTATATATAATTCATGACTATATAGGATTTCTATGAAGATTACATAGGTTTTGGGGTAAAACGAAATATAATTATTCATTCAGAGTGGCCATGGAAAAGTAGTACAGTGTGTTGAATGTTTCTGGTTGTACTAAAGGTCTCCAAACCCAAAAACAGTTGTCAATATTTTTTTATAGAGTGTCCCCTCTAAAATCTATGAAAATTAAAAAAATAAATTTGTATGTGATTTTTGTCTTAATACAGAATAGTTGATGTTATGTTGCATTCATATAATCTTCAATTTCATCTTCATTATCAATATAATTATATTAATCATCATTGTAATATAGAAAAGTATAATAATTTAATAAAACAATAATGCCAAATATGTTTTATATAGCACAGTTCCAAATTGAATGATCAAAGACAATGTGGTCAAAGATAATATCAATGCTCATTTTACTTATGTTTACAATAACTAGACAATGTCTGGATAACTAAACAAATATACTACAAAATAAACACACAATTAGATGCCATGTACATGTCTCATTCATCATTTATTAGCCTGTGTTTAATCACACAATAATCACATACAAACTACAATCATCGTGAGAATTCTACTTATCTTATATTGCGAGTGATACTAATTCTTGCCTTGCAATTTGACTATATTTGCTATAAATTGTATTGAGCTCTGAGATTTTTTTCTTGCATTTAAAATATTGATAAATGACATTTTCAAATCAGACTTTTTACAATGAAAAAAGCATGTAAACTCTATTGAAAAATCAAATGCTTATTCCTGGTATATAATAATAATAATAATAATGCATTTATAATGCGCCATCTATCCAGGTAAACCTATCCCGAGGCGCACACAAACATACTAAACATGGAAAATCAAAAAACAACATTATAAAAGTACAATGATAAAAACAATTAATGATTAAAAGCAATTGAAATAAATGTGTTTTAAGAGTCTTTTTAAAAACATCAAGCGAACTGCATCTGCGGAGTTCAATTGGTAATGCGCATTCCAGAGCCTGGGTGCTGCTGCATAGAATGCGTGATCACCGTATGAAGATGCAGTCCTAGGTACAATTAATAGGTGTTTGTCCGCTGATCTTAAACTGCATTTGGGGACATGCATAGATATTAGTTCGCACATATTGTATGTAGGTGACATTTTGTTGAATGATTTCCAGTCGAACAGCAGCAATTTGAATCGAATTCGTTGGCGAATTGGTAACCAGTGAAGCTGTTTCAATATTGGTGAAATGTGATCAAATTTTATTTGATTACCTACTTATTAGGTGGTTGCCATATCAATAAGTAATAATTTTGTTTGAATTTTTTGTATGCAATTCGTGTGGTGATTCTTAATGGTGTTTGGCATTTACTGTACAATATTTGTATGAAACAGGCAATGGTGATAAAATTTACAACACTTGAAATCTAATTCTACATAGATCGATTTATAGAACCTGGTACATAAATATGCGCACTATAGCATGTAAATATTACAGTCTCAGTACTTCAGAGTTAGCACCATGCTCATAACTATGGGGTTGTGGGGGACAGATTAACTTTGTCGCCTGGGGTTGGGCATTTTGCTACAGTAGCCATTTCTCTTGTCCCCCTGTTACATAATATTTCTACCTGTTTATAGTACTAGGCCAAGGTCTTTAAAATGTTATTACCTTAGACCAGGAACCTCAAAACTGTTTTTTTGATGGCACTTATTATTATTATACTACAAGTTGGTCCTTAACCCTTTGAACCCGGGAAGGCTGGAAAAACGGCCGTGCGCTTACGCTGCATTAACCCTAAAGGCCGGTATACCGGCTTTGCGGGTCAGGTGACGTTATTTGGGGTAATCACCTGACCAGTATGAGTAATATGACGTAATTTTGTGACACCACCATTCCCGAGTCATTTTGATAACCTCGTACATGTTGATTTTTTTGAAAAAAATTTATATTGAATAATTTGACAATAAATGCCAACATGCTTTACGATCGATACTTTATGACTCCCAAAAAAATATTGATGATGACGATTATCCAGGAAGTGATTTGGAAAGAGTGTAGTTTCTAGCCCTAAGCTAGGCCGATCACGATAGTGCTAGTGCCAGCAGTGGTAGTGATGATAGTTGTGCGTCGGGTTGATGGATGGCTATGGTAGCGATACAGGGCCTAGGAGGTGGTGGTGATGATTGTAATAAAAAAAAAACATATTTTGTCCAAATAACTCAGGGTGAGGGTGACGCAAGATGTAAATAATGCAGGGTTCAAAGGGTTAAGTATAAATAGTAGGAAATTGGATGAAAAACTATCTATAAATAATAATGCCCCATTAAAAACTGTAGCATGAGGTACCGATGCAGTAAGAGTAGTCATGTAGTTCTATGCCACTACTAAACTACAAAAATCAGTCTATTCTGCAGGTGGACTAATTCTAAAAATTACACCTTTGCTAATAATGGTACCAAACATCTATTATTTGTATGAATGCTTCCCTACCCGCACTGAATATACTTAGCATGAGTTACCAACAGATGTATTTTTGATATATTTTTATTTTTTTACATAAATTGGTTTAATTGATCATTATACATGTTTTTGAGAAATTACTATTAAACTAAAACAAAAAAGGATTATAAGTAGAATATTGCTTTTCTATATATGGCTGGATAAACCGTGTCTACAAAATAAATAGCAGGGGGTTTGTGCCGAGGAACCTGAAGCGTTAGGCCTGCAAGACTTCAATCGTATCACGGTTGGTGTTTGTGGTGCTAGTATCTTGTTCTATTCTATTTTTGAACCTCTTCATCAATGTAAGCCGAACCTGCAATAAAATTTAAAACAAACCTAAATATTGTCTTGATGACATCACATCATGACCATATATATAGGCACATCATGACCATATATATAGGCACATCATGACCATATATAGGAACATTATGACCATATATAGGCACATCATGACCATATATAGGCACACCATGACCATATATAGGCACATCATGACCATATATAGGAACATTATGACCATATATAGGCACATCATGACCATATATAGGCACATCATGACCATATATAGGAACATTATGACCATATATAGGAACATTATGACCATATATAGGCACATCATGACCATATACAGGCAAATCATTGATTAACCCTGTCCAGACTATAACATTTTATTTGACAAAAACTTATGACATGCCTAAATATGGTCATGATGATATCACAAAGAAACCGAAAGGTCTACTGACCATATTTAGGCACATGGCTTTTTGTCAAATAAAATTTGATTGAACAGGACTTAAACTACTGTTTTTTTTTTCTGGAAAATACTAAATTTTAACAACATAATAGTGAAATACCTCTTGGCTGAAAACGCATTGCGAGAGCCAGATGAAAAATCCTTGCAAGGAATTTACAAATACAAATATGTATTCCATCACCTCCGAATCACTAAAGACAATTATAACACCAAAAATCCATGTAAGTCCAACAGCTGGTGTAAGCAGAAGCATACCGACGAATAGAGTTCTTAAAACCAATAAATAAAAAACTTTTGGTTACAGATCATAAACTATACAAACAAGTCTATTCCATTACATTTGTTTTCTTTATGTATTTTGATAGAAAAAAAAGCTTAAATTGCCTTAGCCATGCTTATTGTAAACAAATTAATATATATATTTTGCATATGATTATTATTATTATTATTATTATTATTATTAAATGATAAAAAAATATTGAGTGTTTTAATACATTGGTGGCATACATGATATATAATGAATTAAAGTGTACAGCATATGCCTATATAATTATGCCAAATTTGGCTTAATTATATGTACAACATCACTTAGTTAAAATATAATGCATTTTCTCCTTTTGTAAAGAAGTGTATTACTGTACAAGCAAGGACTTTTAACTGTTACAAGGATAGGAAGCTGGCTGGTTTAAGCCATCTTTCTTGAATTAGCCTTATGTGTGGTATTGTTATGCTAATGAGGCAAATAAGCGCAATCTGCACATGCTCAGAAAACCAGAGGAAAGTTTTGTTTTTCTGAGCATGTGCAGATTGTGTTTATCTGGCTCATTAGCATAACAATACCAAACATAAGGCTAATTCAAGTTAGGGCCCGTTTACGAACTTTCAAAAACCGGATAACTCAAGCCTGAGGTGATAATTAATCATTCCTCAACTAGCTATAATTACTAAAACATCTGGACTTTCCGGGCTTATCCTTTCCGGATAAGTTTGGAGGGTTGGAGGCTGCCTCTGGCGCAATAGCCCACAGCATGGTGTCAACTGACCTTACTTTTATGACAAATCTATTCAGATTAAGCACTTGAGTCCGCTATTTCTTTTCATCCATGCCTTCGTCCAGTGACATCACTAGAGTAGTCCTCACTTAATAAATTATATTATCCAATTTTTAAGCCGAAATATTATTTTTACAACGATATACCCCTATATACAATGGCTGCAGCTGAACAGAGTGGGTGGACTGACGAAGCAACCCAAACGTTAATTAGCATATGGGGAACAAAATCCATACAAGATGCTTTTGATGGAACCCGACGGAACAACGCCGTTTGTAAAGAAATCGCACAGAAGATGCGGGAAATGGGTTATAACTTTACGCAAGCACAGATAGAATACCAAATGCAAGAACCTGCGCAAAAAAATATACCCAGGAAAAGGACTCAAACAGGAAGTCAGGAAACCCCCTCCCCCCAACAGAATGGCTGTATTTTGAGATGATGAACGAAATTTTTGGCGATAGACCCAATTTCTTGTCCACCGCACACTGTTGACACGTCGTTGTCGGCTCTGAACACCAGTGAAACTAGTAGTATAGTAGTAGGAAGTCCGTAGGCTATTTTTTTTTTCTTTGTTTTTTTTTTTTTGTAGTTTTCCCAGTTGGCTAGGCTCTAGTTTCTAACACCTGTTTTTTTTAGAATTGGTTGGAGTTCGAGCGTAGGCAAGGCGAGGTAATTCGTTGTTGAATTGCCTTGTTGTGCAGAGGAAGGCTAAGCGGTGAAGTGTTTGTTTTGTTTACATGAAAGGCCTATACCTTACTGTCCGTATCAGAATAACTTGGGGTTCGTAAACGAGCGATCTAATGGCCTACCCTCTGGGCATTATGTCATTTTTGACTTATCCGGTTTCGTTGAAAGTTCGTAAACACAACCTTAGATGCCTTAAATCAGCCAGCTTCCTATCCTGGTAACAGTTAAAAGTCCTTGTTAAAGTTCATAAAAATTTTACTTCATGATAATTGTTGTGAGTTTACCTTGTTAAAGTTCATAAAAATTTTACTTCATGATAATTGTTGTGAGTTTATACTCTATAAAGCAAAGGAATAGCACTAAACTAACCTGATTCGTTGGAAGTTTTGAGTTTCTTCATGGTTCATAACTTTGGATTTTTCAAAAGCTACTAAGCCAGTATTCACCAGCTGTACCAGGACAATCTTTTAAAGAAAAGATATTTTCAATCTATTTCATTGCCAAAACTATAGCTAACATACTGTACAAAAAAAATTTCAACCATTGGATGAGTTGCGGCATGAAGGCAAACCTATTCACTAAGATAATGCTGAAAAAGTAAACAGCAGCGGGACCAGCGGACAGAGGGAACATGACTGTCCAGGAGGCATTTTTGGGGGGAAAATCCCAAAAAATTAGCTGTTATGCTATAAAGTGTACAGATAACATTTGGTGTTGGAAGCATTTTATTGAGACAATTCTCATGGTTGGAGGCACATAAAATTATCTTCCAGGCCTGGATAAAGGACTTTAAGTGGAGTTCAGTGTAAACATCTGGCATGTGTGCACTGTAAAGAAACCATTGCATTCTTCAGTAGAGTAGGGTTTACCCCGATGCTGTGTGATTCATTTCAGCCTCTGTGGTTGTGGAATGATGTGAATATTTAGCTCCTATATGCACCTGTTTATATCAGCTAGGTAACCATGGAGTACACCTGTGCATAATTCAGCACAATGATACTGCAAGTTATGGGTTGTTCTACTACCTTTACGTTTTTACCTTTAATCACCAAGTTCGACATGAAATAAATTTATTAAAGATGAAAATTTAAATATTAAATTTTGATGATTATCATAATCCTATTGAAAATAATCAATAAAGTAAAGGCCTTAGGGTAAAGCCAACAAAAAGGGCTCTAGAATATGCTAATAATATGTTTCCCACCCTGTGATTTTACATTAAAAATTGTCTGTACATTGCCATTTAACTGATAGTATGAAATGAAAATTTGATATTAAATTTTGATTATTGTCATAATCTTATTGAAAATACTCATAGGTAACCTCATTAAAGATCTTTGTGTGAAGCCAGCAAAAAGGGGTTTAGAATATGCTAATGATAATGATAATGTTTCCCTCCTTATGATTTTACATTAAAAATTGTCTGTACATTGCCCAGCTGATAGTATCCTTGCATGAGGAGAGTGAAAATACAACTACATTGGTGTCTAAATGACCGTCAATTGTTTGTAGCTTCACTCTTGTTATAGTAATATAATTGGGTGCCCCCTGGCATTTACTGTCGAGGCCTGTGTATACAGTAGTCTAATGAAATGATAATGATATTTAATAAAGATAATAATATTAATAATAAATAAGATTTACATTGAGCTAACATCCATTTTGGGAAATATTTGGAAATAATACATACCAAAAGAGTGAGACAAACAGGAGCAATGAAAGCCCAGATGGCACCTGACTCAGAATCCAACCAGCACCTAAAATTGACAAGATCAAGAAAGTATGAATTCTGTCCTTGATTTTATAGAAAAATAAAGAATGTGGCTTCAAAGTAATATCCAAAAGTTTGTATACCAAAGAGCTCTGTCCAACACTAACAGACTTTATCTGTCAAATTTGTGTGATGTGCCCATATATGGGCTTGATGATGTCAAAACCCATATATGGGCAAATCAGATTAGTTGTCACATTTGATAGTGCGGACACAGCTTCAGATTATGAGGAAGTCACGCACTCACTACGTCATACAATTTTCTTACGGAGGATCCAACACCACTCCCTTTGAGTTCTAGAAGAAACAACGCCGTCTGGTGATTGACAGATTGCCAGTCTGAATGAACAAATTATCATTAAGAACGATCCACTGTGCTTGTGGGATTGTGTTGTCCATAGGATCGCGTCGGCCAACAACTGAAGGGAACGTACGGTCTGCAATTCAATATTGACTAAATACAACTAACCGACTAATGGTGCGTTGATTTATTTTTTAATTGAATGGTTGATTGATGGATTGTTTATATGTGGACGTGAAGCAGTAAAGCGTTCAGTATTTGAGAGGTTAAATATTCAAATCATAATCTGATATTGTGTGTGATTGATATCACCGCATCTGAAATAATAATTAACGAGTTATGAAGTAATTAAAGATTAACTATACTTGTCCGATGCGTAGTTCTCCCTTGTTATTCCAGCAGTCGTCACCACAACAATGGCGGGTCCAATCCAACCAATGTAACGACTGTAAACAAAGCGTTTTTCATGGTCAGCAAACGGAAGTATAACCTTCATGTAAAGATCTGTTGACATGATCAACATCCACGAGAAAGCTACCAAAAAACAGTAGTGCAGGCATCCAGCAAGAAGACTGCATGTAATTTTAGGAGAGGATCTTTCCATATCAATCTGTTAATAAAGTATTTTAGCCTTCGGTTACTACTGGCTCTTTATGTAAATTTGGCAAAGATGACATAGTTATGATTATTATCATTATCATTATTATCATCAGCATCACCAACAATCATCATCATTGTCAACATAATAATTATTATTACTTTTATTACTTTAATTATTATTATTATTATTATTATTATTATTCCATACATGGTATTTGGCCTATATCATGTTTGTTATTCTAATTGTTAGTAATAATTTTTATAATTATTTTTTTTTGTAATTATGCAGTTGGAATGTTTTACTAAACATACTTATGTATTAAATAGTTAATATTTTCTTAATACACATTAATAAGACACATTAATATGACATACACATTAATATTAATATCCACATTAATATATGACATACCGTGTTCTTTCCATGAAATTGCAGGAGAAAAAATAAGAAATTGACACATAGTAGGGCAATGACCAAGTGGCACAAAATTCTGTAGCGATCAGAGCTCCTTAAACCTCTGAAAAAAGATATGACATGATGTTGGTAGGGACACTCATTGTATTTAATTTTATATTTTACAACATTGTTATAAATTATATATAGAGTTACGACAATGTTAAGATTTGTCATAACATACTATGAATTAACAAGATTGTATTACATCAGTATGATTTTACAAAGACGACACGATATCTATATGGGATGCCTGTTTTATTTAAATAATCATATTACAAAAAAGGCATAATTTACGAATATTTTAATATTGTTGTCGCCATAGTGCAATATACAGTACGCAAGCTGCTGTTCTAGTTGTTGTGGACACTACAAATGCACACGACAACGTCACAACACTCGCACGATTCTGCTGCAGTAGACAAAGATTTTTTTACAGGTAATATTGAGAACGATTTTTTAAAAAGAATTCAGTACGATGCCACTGCGATATTCAAAAATTGAAAAATCATGCTAAATCATGGCAAAAACTGTGAATGTGTAAAAGGGAAAAACATGAAATGTAATTGAACTTCTTAGATCTCTTGTTAACATGTTTAACATGATGGATATAACATTTCTTTTTCAATTTTTACTGCACCAGCTACTTCCAATCTGCCACTGAGCTTATGCCTGCAACTTTTGGGTATTCCTTATTATATTTTCTTATCATATGACGCTCTGTCATGCCCATAAGCAGCGTACTCGC